GTAGGAATGTCAGAGGAATAAACGTTTAATATTTTAAATAATTAAAAGATATATTTAAAGAAATACCACCTTATACATGTTCCGATTAATAAAAAAATACATCTAACACTAAAATAAAATCATTAACTAGGTAACGATAAAAACAATATATTTGGAACGCCAAGTAATTGAACTTATATTGGTGGTGAAAAATGAATATCCTAAATTTAACCCGACGATTAATTTTCTATCCTTTCATTTTGTTTATCATTATTTTGGTGTTAATAGAATTTACAGCAATTTATACCCACGATACTGATATCTTTCGCCATTTATTAAATTTTGTCATTAAGATTACATTATTAACGTATTTCAGTTTCGTTAGAATTTAATTCAAAGATTAAACACTTATTCATTACTTAATCATGCATCTTAAATAAGTTGAAGGACTGACGAATAGTTTACGGAAAGTACAAAGATTATATAATCACATAAAAATACAATAAGAGGTTTATTTAGGGGAAAACTAAAAATTTAGAAAATTTGAACATGACTTTAATTTTTGAACCAACTTTCGAGCGTTGACTCGAAGTCTAATGAAATAAATGAATTTTAGTACGGTAGTACACCTTAACTCTTCTCAATTACTTGTATTTTATTTACATTGAATTTGTTTGCTTGTATAAAGTGGTAAAATGACATCTAAAGAATTCCATAGGCTTTAATAACTACTTTAGGCCTTAACACAAGTGTTTAGGGTGAGTTTGAATTTGAATTTCAAACAGAATATTTTTTAGTTTGAGTATCTATATTAAAAACTGGTATTAATATTATTCTTTGTAGGAAAAATCTAGGATTTTATAAGGAGAATATCGATACCCTATTTATATGGTATTAATATTGTTTGTTTAGTATACATATCAGAGGCTAGATATCGATACTAGTATATTTTAAGGAAACTTCAAAGTTAGAATTGAATTGATATCGATACCTAAAAAGAGTATCGATCCTATACTTGAGTATCGATACTCAATACGTAATCTCGGTATAGAAGGGTTAAATGGACTATAACTGTTTTTTCTGTCTCGATACCCATGTATATGTATTGATATCATAGTAAAATTTGGTTTTGTATTACCCATATCTCATTTGGGCTTATTTCGAGACCTTGATAATTTGTTAAATCAATCCTAAAAAAAGTCACTTGCCTCCATAAAAGTTGACCTCATCTAGCATTTAGGCATATTTTTTTAAATAAGGTAATTACAAAATAGTATCTGTTCTGAATACTTTATATTATTTAACAATAAATACTTAATTACCCTATTGTAGTCATTGACATTTGAACCCATAATCTTTAGAAATAACAACGATTCATTGAATTACTGAGGTAAGTTGGTTCGTGCTTTGGCCATATTTTTTTTCATGAAAAAGGGGAAGATTAGAGAACATAAAAAATCTAAAAAGGGAGAGAGTATTCGAGAAATAGGAAAAAACCACTTAATGGTATCTAATGTCCTCAAATTTTTTTGAAAGAACTAATGCGGTCCTTGAACTATTTTACATTCATTGTGGCCCTCAAACTCAAGAAAAAATCCGATGTGAGATTTTGACCAACAATTTTTAGTATTTAACATTACGATAATGATGTGATAGTTCACAGTGCTGAGATAACGGCCCACGATGGGTTGTTGACATGACAGATGTATTAAATTGATTTTTCTGATCGAGTTTTAGTCAAATTAATTTTTTTAAAGTTTAGGGGCTTATTTAACTTTTTTTAAAATAAAGTTTATTTTAAATTTGAAATATAATAATTTAAAAATAAATATTAAAATATTAAAAAATAAAAAGGTTAATTACTATATATATAATACTAAAAACACTATTAAAATTTGAAAAAAATAAAAATATAACACACGTTATAAAATGATAAATTATAAATTATTCAAATACTTTAGACATTTTTAATGTTATTTTTTTGTACTAGCTTATTATACAATGTGCAAGGTGTTGCGAATATTCATTGGAATTGTTCAAAATATAATTAGATGTTTCAATTGATACAAAAAACTCATTGTAATTTTTAATTATATTTATATATAAAATTTGTAAGTCTCAACTAATTCAATAAAAACCGTTAATAAAATGAAAATATGTACATGTATATATTATGTATAATATATATTTTTATAAAATATATTTTAATTCTTTAATAATTAACTTGGATCCAAGGGAATCCACACATAGAAGATTCGAGGAAAATTGTAGGATTGATGCTTGGGGGGTTTGTTTACCTTTAGGGAAGTAAAAAACTGATCCAACTTGTAAAGTTGATTGAAATTGACTTGAGTCAAAACTGTTTGTGATATGAGATGATGATGATTTGAAATTGATTCGAGTTTGAACTGGTGTTGACCTGAATTCGAGTTGGACCATGAAATTTAGTACCTATACCCTACCTGCACCCTACCTGAGAACGATCTGAACTCGAATTGAACCTAATAATGTGATAATTGAACCTGACCTGATATGAACCCGAAACCGAGATTAACCCGGTAAATAAATGATATTACCTGACCTGTTATAAAACTGATATGTAATTGAATCAGCCTGTAAATAATCTGACATGATATTAAACTGGTATGATATTTACCTAACTTGGTATTTTTCTTGACTTGTAAGTTACAATCGATGAAGTTAGGAAATTATGAATTTCTTAACATATGATAATTAACTTAACATATTTACTTGGAATACATGATTAACTATGATAATTAACTTAACATATTTACTTTTACTTTTTATGTTTATAACTTGTAGCATATAAATATATTCAAAAAATTATTAAATTATGACTTGAGATTGATAAAGTTAATAAAATTAATTTTTTAAATGTAAAATAAATTAATAATTATGATCATTATATTAATAAATTTATTTTTTATATTTATTAAGATCGTAATATTAAAAAATAATTATAACTATTAAATTAGCAACATTAAATGATTCATTTTTATGTAATAATTAATAACTTAAATATTATTTAACTTAAAATTTCAATATATATATATTAAACATGATTCTAGATTTATAGTTATGATAATATAAGAATATGAGATTAAAAATTTGATAATTTTATAAGTATTGAAACTAACAAAATGTATAGATAAACAAATTAAATTTATTACAACTTAATACACCACAATTACAATTATATGAACTAAATAAATTTATGTTAAAATTTAAGCTATCAAATCTTATAGCAAAAGTTTTTGTCACACCCCAATTACGGGTTAAATTTTTCTTACTTTTATTTTGAGGACTAAATTAAAATTTTGGCAAAATTCGGAGACCAAAATGAAACTTTAGCTAAATTCAGACCTAAATCAAAAAGTTTCAAAAGCCAAGGACTTACAATATAATTATACCATTTTCTTTTGATGGGTATAAAACCCTCCCAAAATCAGCAAATTTCCATTTCTGAAAAACCAATCTTCTTTCTCTCTTTAACCTTCCATTTTTGGAAAACATAAGCCAATGATACTTAAACGACATTTTACTTCCGATCGAAACTCCGTTCTTGACACCGCCTGAACCATTAAAGTCCTTGTGTCATCCCTAGTCCAACGATGGTCTATTTGTTTCCATCGTTGTCTGCATGAGGAGGGGGTAATAAGTTTTCGACGAAGCGTGATCGGGCTCTCTGTCATTTTACTAAATAAGTTTTTCGTATTTTTTCAACCGCAGACTCATTGACCCGTCGCTTAAGCTGTTAGCCTGTCTGCCCGATCCAATCCACCTACCCAACCTGACTCGTGCACCGTTAGCCCAAACCCAAACCCAAATCTGATCCGATCCAACTGAACTGCCCAACCCTAATTGATCCAGTCGCATTGAGCCGAGTTGAGCTATGTCTCGCCGCAATGCTTATCGCATCGTTTGACTGTTGACTAAAGTTGACTTTTTCCAAAAACCTCCCTCTCAACGTTTTTCAATGTCCTTAGTTCAATTTTATGATATGTTTTTCCAAATTTTGACCCAAAAGCCCCAAATCAAGCCTGTTAATCCGAAAGTGTTTAGTATTTTTAGCATTTCTATTTTATTTATTAGGGATCAGATTATGGAATTAATTTAATATCATATTTTCATGAAGGTACCCATGATTCACCTGACTGAGGGTCGACCAGATTTGGTACTTCCCATTTGACAGATCAACAAGTTGCACGTTCTGTGAGAGTGACTCGTATGTTACTATATATTGTTTAATTAAAGTTTATTATTTATCTTATGTTAGCACTACAGCAAAATAGAGTTTTAGCGGCGTTTTTTTAGTCTTATAGCGACATTTTTAAGCGCCGCTAAAAGTATTTGCGGCGATAGGAAAAATGCCGCAAGAAGCGCCGGCAATACCAACGCCGCTAAAGTTAGCGGCGTTTGAGAACAAAAAATGCCGCAATAGGTCAATATCTATTACGGCGTTTTTTAAACAAACACCGTAAAAGGTCGATATCTATAGCGGCGTTTTTGGAACAAACGCCGCAAAAAGTTATGATATATAGCGGCGTTTCTAGAAAAAACGCCGCAAAAAGTCAGATCTATAGCGGCGTTTTTGGATACAAACGCCGCAAAAGAGCAGACCTATACTGGCGTTTTTAGAACAAACGCCGCAAAAGTTCAGACCTATAGCGGCGTTTTTTGACACAAACGCTGCTAAAGGTCAAACCTATAACGACGTTTTTGAACACAAACGCCGCAAAAAGTCAGACCTATAGCAGCGTTTTTTGGATACAAACGCCGCTAATTACCTTTCTTTAGCTAATATTAATTGATTTTGCATATTTCATTTCTGTTATACATCACCTAAATTTATATCTAGCTTTATCTAATTAACAATAACCATACATTTTAATTAAGACAAAAAACATAAAGAAAAATACTTAACAACAAAATAAATTAAAGATTTTTTATGGAGAGAGAACCTTAAAAGACATTAAAGTACAAATGAGTTACAACTGAACCTCAAAGTGTAGATATACATGGATTTGTTGTTCGATACATCCTCAATTTCACTAGCGTCATCATCATAACCTCCAGATATGCCTTCTAAAGCTACTTTGTTTCCCACTTCATTGGAATTTGTCATATTCATCGTCTTGACATCTTATTTGAAAGTATCATTTGACAGTGAATGATCTCTCCTCAATAGATTAAAAATAAATGGGAAATGTTGTGCCAGTCTATTGAAGAAGCCGCTTTTTGTTGAAGTTTGTTCTTCAAGATTATTGCAATTACAATAATTTAGATGAGACTAAGAAGAGAAGGAAACAACCAGCAGAACTTGCATTCATAACCTACATGTGAGTGATTGAGAACTGAAAAAAGATGTTGCAACAAACAACAAAAATAGGAAGTCAGGAACCATGAAAACTAAAATATATTCTACATAAGAATGTAAAAAATGTCCTCATAAAGAAAAAATTTAATAATGTATTGGTTGCCATCTTACTTTTAGAAGTTAGAATTCTTACCCCAAGATAACAACTGTTGTGACTAGAAGGTTGGGCTCCAACTTAGGATCATGAAATACATATATAATAATGTGCTTTGTGTACTCTGTAGTTTGACGGAATGTACGCAAAAAGGCTTGCAAATCGTCATCGCTGATAACATTAGAACTTGCAACAACACATATAACTATGCCATCGAGTTCCTACGTCCAAAAATGAAATGATCAAAACTTTAATGTGACACATGTAACAAATAAAAGGAGTAGGTTGCCCCGTACAAAGAAAATCGGAAAAACATTTATGTTTGAAGTTTGAACCGACAAGGAAATAGGGTGAATGAGCACTTAAACAACATAAAGTAAAAAGTCATGCATGCACATATATCTCAACATTTCCAATGAAACTTATGTCACATCTGCATTAAAATTTTCTTCCTTGTAAAACGCTGTGGGTGCCCAGCATCCCCATGTGCCCAAGATCACTCCTTTAACGCCCTAGAAAACATGGAAGATTGAATCAAAGAAGGAAATACATGTCATATAATATAAGAGTGCAATCCATTCAGTGCATTTGTTGACTGGAAAACTGCATTACAAGCAAATGATTGATTGCATTGAGTAATTAATTAATCACATTGAAACAACAACTATTCATTAAACATTACGATTCACAAGTCCCTGTCCTCACCCAAACCGATAAAGATCACGATGATCCTAGATGATCCATGCAGCCAAACACTAAGACACAGGCTATGGAAAGATTCACCAAACAAATAATACATTTGAGTGAAGAAGTGGCACTAGTTCAACTGCGGTAATGGCTGATGCCAAGCCGGGGTAAGTTTAAGTTGATGGTTTCATAGGTTACCTAATTAAGTTAGCTGCTTGCATACATAAATATTTCTTAATGAATTAGAACCAAACTACACTAAAAACTGTTAACACATTGTCACTGGTTATAGCTGTTATTTCTTAAAATGAAAGAAAGAAAACTCAAAAACTGAAAAGAGCAAAGGTCCCTCTACAAACCTCAGCATCTGCCAAAAATTTCTTCCGGAGGATCGTACGCATGCTTTTCTGGAAAGAGCTCCTCGAAATATTTCTTAACTTTGTTCCTTAAAAGAGGGTGTGGGAGAAGCCCTTTTAGTAAAATCCTGAATGGTAACTCCTCCGGTGGGTCTGGAGATTTAATCATATCCTCATATACGTTCATTGCATCGGAAGGAGATCCGTCCCTCAGGAAGCCCGTAATGATCTCGGTGTATGTCTGAGAATCAGGGAACATATATTCCTTTTTTATAGATTCCCATAACTTCATTGCTTCATCCATTTTCCTACATTTTGCTAATGCAATAATCAAGTCCTTATACAGAAAAATGTCAGGTTTATACCAGTCCTGCTTTTGAATCACCTCAAAAACCTGGAAATTCAGCAAAATTAAAATCCAAGAAGAAGATGTCATAACTCAGAAACAACCTGATCTACTTCACTAAGGGGAAAAATCTCGATTAAGTTCTCTTTGTATGTAACATTATAAACACCCATTCTCATTCTCAAAAACTATATAAATTAAATATATCATTTCAAAGCAAAAAAGCCATTGCAATTCTCAAGCTAACGGCCCGGAAATTCAATGCTCACAAAAAAAAATATCAAAATCTTTTTCGAGCATTTGATCGAACAGAATAAAAGCAATCTCAATTCACTTAAACTCAAAAAAAATTACGAATCCGACAGATTTAAGATACAATCCAAATAAGAAAAATTTAAAAAAAATCAATAGAAGTGAAAAATGCGAGTACCTTCACAGCCAGAGAAGTCTCCTCTTGGCCTTCAAGCTCTGAAAGAACCGTAATCAAATCCATCTTCAACAGCCTTAAAACATGGGTTTTAATAAATTTTTTAAGTTTATCTTCATCATCCTTAAATCTCTTTAAACCTAATATTACGAAAAGGGCTTCTTTCCCTATCAGCTTTTTACCTCTCCAAAGGGGACCTCTTGGTCTCCCATCATGATATTGCTTAAACCCTGAAATTGGTTTATGGATAACGGGTAGTAGAGGTGAAATCTAAGGTTTTAGAAGAAACGGAGATCTCGTTATGCCGTTTTTTGTGAGGTTCTGAAGGAGGATCGCCGTTAAAATTGGAAACTTTGATTTTAAAAAGGCGCGAGTTGCCATTAGAGCTTGAAGAATATGAGAACGTGAAGGGTTTAGGCGAAGTAAAATGCTTCCAAGTCCAAGCAAAAAGAAACGGTCCTTTCTGAAGTAAACAATCAAATTACGAGTCTATAGCGGCGTTTGGTATTAAAACGCCACAAAAGTACGTTTCTATAGCGGCGTTTGTGTAAAAAACGCCATTAAAGTACGAATCTATAGCGGCGTTTGGTATTAAAACGCCACAAAAGTACGTGTCTATAGCGGCGTTTGTGTAAAAATGTCACTAAAGTACGAGTCTATAGCGGCGTTTGGTATTAAAACGCCACAAAAGTACATGTCTATAGCGGCGTTTATATAAAAACGCCACTAAAATACTTGTTTATAGCGGCGTTTGTATAAAAAAGCCACTACATTACAATTCTTTAGCGGCGTTTTTATACAAACGCCACTAAAGTATAGTATTTTGCGGCGTTTGTTCAAAAACGCCGCTATATATAAACAATTACCGGCGTTTGCAGTAAAAACGCCGCTACATCCGCCGCTAAAAACCATTTTTGCTGTAGTGTAGGATTTTTTTATAGTTTTTTATTAGTAGGGTCTAGTGCTGTCGTCGGTCGTGATAGGCAGACCCGAGAGTAGTCTACCACCCCAAACTTCTCATATCGGTACAAGTGTGTTCCTATTGGTGTTACAATGCTGTTTTAAATCATCTGTCTAAATTGTTTTGAAAATTAAATATTTTGACTGCATGAAATCTATTTTATCGGATACTCTGACTTTCGATATTTGATTTACAATATATTTTGGCATTGTCTCTGGTTACCGTATTTCTGTATCTGATTATGAAAAATGGAATGTTTTGATGTTTTGTTAAATTAACTTACCAAATTTATGCATATTTACTATCATTGGGGGTATGATTGGAGGAAGTATTTCAGGCCTATTCTATGACTTGTAAGACCTTACTGTAAGCACCTTTGCTTTGTGCACAACCTAAGACCTTACCGTAGGCCCTTATGATATTAGCATAAGATCCTTACCGGGCTTAAAGGTGGGTGTATGGTTAAGGGGAACATATATATTCCAGTGTTTGGATGGGGTAGTGTTAATGTTTTAAATATCATGTTGTTATAAAATAATTTTACCTAAATATTTTATCTATATGTTTTATACATCACAATGAGCACACTGGGTTGTTTAGTTCATTCTTTAATAACCTTTCAAACACTAGCAGACGTGGCATTAGGAGGTTCAATCATTCTTCATTTTTTTACCACTGTATATTCTCTATGCCATCTCTATTATATTTTGGTGACACATGTTTTACTGTCATTTGTGTATATATGTATATCGATATTTTGTTCTGACCATGCTTTCATATGAACTTCTAGTGATCTGTAGATTCAAAATGGATTTAAGTGCATTTTGAATCTGAAAATGATCTTTGTATATGACATGTGACCGCCTGGATTTGGATCTACAGTCTAGGTCGGGTCTAGGGTTAGCATATATGTTTATTTATTTGGGATCTGATTATGGAATTAATCTAAGATCATATTTTCGTGAAGGTACATATGATTCACCTGACCGAGGGTCGACTAAATCTAATACTTTTTGTTCGACAGATCAACTAGTTGCACGTTATCTGAGAGTGACTCGTAGGTTTCTGTAAATTGTTTAATTAAAATTTATTATTTATCGTATGTTAGGATTTTGAGATAGTTTTCCCATTCGTAGGATCTAGTGTTTCCGCCGATCATGATAGGCAGACCTGAGAGTATCACCTATCCCAAACTTCTCAGATCGATACATGTGTGTTCCTTACGGTGTTACAATATTGTTTTAAATCATCTGTCTGAACTGTTTTGAAAATTTAAATATTCTATCTGCATGAAATTTGTTTTACCACATACTATGACTTCCGATATATGATTTACCGTATATTCTGGCATGATCTCTGGTTAACTTATTTTTGTATCTGATTCTGGAAAATGACATATTTTGATGTTTTATTAAATTAACTTACCAATTTCATGCATATTTACAATCATTAAGGGTATGATTAGAGGAAGTATTTCATGCATAGTCTCTTACTTGTAAGACCTTACAGCAGGAATCTCTACTTTGTGCATAGGCTAAGACCTTACCGCAGTCCCTTATGTTGTTAGCATAAGGTCCTTATCGGACGTACATGTTGGTGTATGGTTTAGGGCAACCTACACATTCTGGTGTTTGGATGAGGGTAATGTTCATGTTTTAAAGAGCATGATGTTATAAAATAATTTTACCAAAATATTTTATCTGTATGTTTTATACACCGCAAGTAGAACACTAGTCTTTTTATATCATTCTTTAATTTTTAACTTTTCATATATTACCCGACAGTAGGCAAGCAGACTTGGCATCAGGTGGTTCGACCATTCTCTATTTTTGTAAAACTGTATATTCTTTAAGCCATCACTTTTATATTTTGGTGACACGTGTTTTACTATTGTCTGTGTATTATTTGTATATCGATATTTTGTTCTGACCACGCTTCCATATGGACTTCTAGTGATATATATATATTGTTACGTATTTTCATATTTTACCATTATTCGTATTTTATTTACTGAAATTGATTTTAAGTGCATTTTGAATATGAAAATGATCTATGTATATGACATGTGATCGTCTGGATTTGGATCTACCATCTACGCCGGGTGTAGGGGTTACATTTGGTGATATCAGAGCTTTCAGTTTTAATCCCTCAAACTATGGATGAATCCATATATCGTATTTTTAAGATGATATTTTCTAATATTTGCAAACACCAGGTCACCTTGTTTTACAAGTTTTAAATGGATTCAATATTTATGATGTCAGTTTAACTTAGGTTTAAATTCTTTTTGTAGAGCATATTAGATATGATTCGATGAGTGATCGAGGTCGTAGGACAGGTCATGGCCGAGCATTTCATTCTTCTGTTTCTATCGAGGATATGGCATTAGCTAGTGATCCTTCTATTCAACGTATCCATCCGTCTACTTCCCGAATGGATCCGATTACATTGGTGAGAGACCCTCATGTTACTGAGGACGAGTATGCTAAGATGGATCAGGATGTCATAGATAAAGTTATTTGTCATATGTTTCAGAGGCCAGTTAGAGTTCCTACTAATATATCTTTTGTGGATATATATGTCTTTAGTGGTTGTTGGATTGGTTTCGTTTGAGGGCATGACTGGGGGAAATTCGACAGATGCTGAGTTTTGGTTGGAAGACACCGAAAGGATTATGGAAGAAATGAAGCTACAACCTGAGCAAAAGTTGAAGAGAGCACTAGATTTTCTTAGGATGGAAGCGATGAGACAGTGGAATTCAATTTACAAGAGTATTATGATGGATGTTGACTTGGGACCTTTTTAAGAGACATTTTTAGAGTCACTATATCAGAGAGAGATACTTACAAGAGCGACGTCAAGAGTTTCAGAGCTTGAAGCAAGGTGATATGTCTATTATGGACAATGAGATTGAGTTTATTAGACTTAGTCGTTATACTCTATAGTTAGTGGATGACGAGGTGGATCGATGTCTAAGGTTTGAAAATGGACTGAGGTATGAGATCAGGGATTATATTACTACCCATCGGGTGAGGAACTTTGATACCTTGATAGATATAGCCAAAATTACAAAGGAGTTGGAGTGAGTGGGTATGGAGTGAAGGAGGGACAAAGATCAGGATATGGATAGAGACCGAGACAGAGATAGAGACCTATTCAAGAGATCTTCTCGTAATGTTTCTGCAAGTTATTGAAAGAGAGGTAGGGCGAGTCTTCTTAGAGAGGTGATAGGATTTCTAGGCCTTCCATCAGTCACTCTGATAGTTTTAGTTTCTAGTCAGGGTGGTTCTTCTAGAGCACCGTCTCTGTCCACTTGTGAGCATTGTGGGAGACGTCACTTTAGAGAGTGCAGGAAAAAGATGGGTACCTGTTTTAGATGTGGATTTAGAGATAATTTCTTGAGGGATTGTCTGGAGCCAATTCCCACTGCTTAGACATCAGTTTAGATAGTTGCTCATACTCAGAGTATAATTTATACTCTAATTGGGGGTCGTAGTTAGCAGAGAGCATCTGGGTCTATTAGTAGGGGATGACCTTATTAGAGTAGGAGTACAACTCAAAATGAGGCCATACATCATGGATTGTTATATGCTGCCAGACTTCGTCAGGATCGCGATGGGCTTGATGTGATTGCAAGTACTGTCACTATTTATCCAATTCCATATTTTGCTTTATTTGATTCTTGTTCAACCTATTCCTATATATCGTGCACTGTATATGGGGGTCTTGGTATCCCGGTTGAGAATACTGAGAGTTCTATGACAGTTCAGAGTCCTATAGGATAGTCTATAGACTTGGATAAAATTTATAGAGGTTAGTTGTCCTATAGAGATCTGTAAGAAGATCTTTTTGGAAGGCCTAATGGAGTTGACATTAGATGAGTTTGACTTGATACTCAAAATGGATTGGATGGAAAAGCCTCGAGGTAATCTCGATTACGAGACTAAGAGAGCTCGCATGAAGACTTAAGATGGTCGGAAGATAGTGATGATTGGGGAATGTCGTGGATTCCTGATAAATGTTGTATTTGCTTTGGTGGTTGAAAGTATGATCATGAAGGGTTCCAAGGCCTTTCTTTCTTATATTCTGTATACCAAGTATTCCCGATCTTCCATAAAGGGAATCTGAACTATTAAAGAATTTCTTGATGTTTTTCCCGAGGAGTTACCTGGTTTACCATCGGATATGGATGTTGAGTTTGAGATTGAAATCTATTTTGGATCGATGCCAGTTTCCATGACTCTTTACCGTATGGCCCTAAGGAGCTTAAAGAACTAAAATTTCAACTTCAAGAGTTGTTAGACAGGGGATTCATTCGCCCCAGCGGTTCATCGTGGGGAGCTCAGTATGTATTGACTACCGGAAGCTGAACAAGCTCACAGTAAAAAACTTTAATATTATAATCGAATCTTAAATTCATATATTTGAATTAAAATATTTTAATATTTTTATAATATTTAAATTTGAATAATTTCACAATACTTTGAAATTTTAATTTATTTGTTCTATACATTAATTTTTTAGTATCATCATCTAAATTTTAATTTCATACTTTAAAATTATATATCAAATATCCAAATTTAATGATATCTTGAATTAATTTTTTAGTATAAAATAAATATTAAGGTTTATTTATTTAAATATAATGTATGTATAAGTAAATCATATTTAAACCGTGAATATTCAAAAGTCAATATTAGTTAATGTCCATAAGGAGGTCATATCGGAAGCATCCATTAGTGAGGAAGAATGGGATGTAGAAGTTAGAGTTTCTGTTGGAGTTGATAAAGAAGAGATAGAGGGAGACATGGAGGAATAAGCTCTCATAGCAACGATGAAGTCAAAAATAAACTATAAAGATGATTGGATCGTTGATTATGGCTGCTCCAATCATATGACCAATGACGAGAAGAAGCTGGAAGACATAGATGAATACAAAGGAAGAAGAGTAGTGTTAATGGCCAATAATTCAAGGTTTTCTATTTCTTATATAGGGAAGATAACACTTCCAAAAGAAGGCTCTCACCAGCTCCAACTTGAGAAGGTGTATCTTGCACCTGGTTTAAAGAAGAATCTATTGCCAGTGCCACAATTAACAACAAAAGGGAATTACGTGCTCTTTGGGCCTAAAGATGTAACTGTATTCAAGAGAATTAAGGTGGTTGGTAATCCAATTATGACAGAAAGAAGAATAGAGTCAGTTTATATGTTGTCTGCAGAAACAACATATATGGACAAAACTCATAAAAATGAAATGGGTGATCTTTGGCATGAACATCTTGGGCACATGAGTTACAACAAGTTAAAGGAGATGATGAAGAGACACATAGTGAAAGGGCTTCCTCAACTAGATATTTGGACATATACAATATGTGTTGGAAGTCAATTTGGAAAAGCTCACTAATTGTCATTCAAGAAGTTAGAGCATCAGTTCAAGACACCACTAGAACTCATATACTCAGATGTCCTTGGCCCAATAAAACAAGCATCGATTGAAGGAATGAAGTACATTGTGATATTCATCGATGACTTCTCAAGGTATGTGTGAGTTTACTTTATGAAAGAAAAGTTAAAGACTTTTCTAAAGTTCAAAGAGTTCAAGAAGAAGATATAAATTGAACTCAATAAGAAAATTCAGTGCCTACACACATATAATGGAAGAGAATATTTATCGACTGAGTTCAATATCTACCTTGAGAAGCATAAGATTAGAAGGTAATTAACTTATGCCAATACTCTGCAACAAAACGGATTGGCAAAGCGCAAGAATCATCACCTTGATGAAACTTTTTGAAGCACGTTTAATGCTAAGAATATATCGGGAAGATTCTAGGCTGAATGTATGAGGACAACATCATACATGATTAATAGGCTCCCACAAGCAAAGTTGGGATTTATTTCACCATTTGAGAGACTATAAAAGATCAAGCCAACTGTAAACCATCTCAAGGTATTTGCATGTGTATATTACGTCTTTATACAATATCACCTAAGGAGAAAATTTGATAAGAATGCAATGCGATGTATTTTTGTTGGCTATGATGATACACGGAAAGAATGGAGGTGTTATGATCCAACAACTGGAAAATGTGACACTTCAAGAAATGTGGTATTTGATGAAGCTTCTTAATGGTTGTCACCTCAAAAGATCGAGCTTCTAGAATCTCATGGCTTAGAAGAAATTTCAGAAGAAAAAAAAGAAGGGGAAAAATAAACATTGGATCCAAGTAAAGAAATAGAAGGCTCATCCTCCAAGGAAAAGAGTCCATGGAAGATTGGTGTGCATCATCCTACATCCAAGTCAAATGGAATTTAAGAATAGTGCACAAGAATTACGAAGATCAACAAGGATAAGATAACATAGTCCAAGTTATGTTAATGTTGCCTTTGTGGGTGAAGCTATACCTATTGAGCCTTTCACTTATGAAGAAGCAGTACAAAGCCGAGAGTGGCAGAAAGCTATGGAATAATAAATTAAAGCACTAAAACAAAATCAGACATGTGATTTAGTTCTTAAGCCAAAAGATGTGAAACTAATCTCCTATAAATGGGTTTACAAGGTGAAGACTTGATCAGATTGCTCCATTGAAAGGTATAAAGTTCGACTTGTTACTAGAGGTTTCTCTCAACAATATCGGCTAGATCATGAAGAAACATTTATCCCCGTGGAAAAGATCACAACAATTTGAATCTTACTAGCTTTGGTTACTAGTAAGTCTTAGAAGATATGGCAGATGGACGTCAAGAATTCTTTCCTACATGGAGAACTTGACAAAGACATATATATGGAGCAACCAAGAGGCTTTGAGAACAAGATCCATCCGGAGTATGTTTACAAGTTAAATAGAACACTCTATAGCTTGAAAAAAGCTCCAAGAGCATGGTATGGGAAGATCAGTGAGTTTTTGATACAAAGTGGTTTTACAATTTCTCCTTCAGATTCTAGTTTATTTGAGAAAGAAGATCAAGAAAAATTAGCCATAATGCTAGTATATGTGGATGACCTAATCATCACGAAAGATCATTACAAGGAGATCCAAAAAACAAGGGAAAATCTTTTTATTAGATTCCATTTGAATGAGCTTGGAGAACTCAAACATTTTATTGGATTCAAAGTGGAGCAGATGAAGAATGGATTATTTCTAGGACAACATAAATATACACAAGATCTTTTATAAAAGTTGGGATGCTTAATTGCAAACCTATATCATCTCCTATAGATCATAATATAAAATTACGAGAAGATGAAGGAAAATGTTTATAAGATGTTACCATAAATCGACAGTTGGTCGGAAGTCTTATCTATCTCACACTAAGTCGGCCAAACATAAATTATGCAGTTGGAGTGGCTAGTCGATATACGAGCAATCCAGAGAAGTCTCATATTGACGTAATACGATGCATCTTAAGACTACACTACGCGATAATCGACAACTGGGTACATGTTCAGTCTTGGATCGAGAGCAATATCATGGTGTAGCAAGAGATAACCAACAATATCCTTATCAAGCACCAAAGCAAAATATTGATCAACGTCATCAAAAACACAAGAAAGTACTTGATTGAAGCAACTAGTAGAAGATCTTCATCAGTCAACAGATTATTAAGTAAGACTTTTCTACGATAACATATCAGCTATACGTCTAGCACATAATCCAATCTTTCATGAAAGGAAAAAACATATAGAAGTGCACTATCACTATGTTTGCAAGAACGTCCTTGAAGGAGAGATCAAGATGGTGTTAACAAAGATAGATGAACAAGTTGTAGATATTTGTACGAAGAGTCTAAGTAGACCAAAGTTTGAGAAGTTCAGAGAAGCATTTGGAATGATTTGCAAATCATCTATGAAATGAAGTTTGCATTGAAGGGGAGTGTTAGAAGACAATGCAAATCCTAAAGAATTATATGTGTCATTTAGTGTGTGTGTGTGTGCATGTGTATATATATATATTAGGAATATCTTATAATAATATGAAAATAGTATATGTGTAGTAATATCCATGGAAAAATCTAGATATTTGCATTATTTAATATTATATATAGAATTATCTATTAAAAGAATGTAGATATTTTTAATGTTAAATGGCTAAGATGTTAACATGTATCAACAATATAATGGCCACTAGAAACTATGAATAGAGGTGAATTTTTACCATAGTAGTAAGAGTGAAAAAGAGAGAAAAGAGTGCCAAAAGTGTGAGCTAGAGAAAGAGAGCCAAAAGTGTGAGCTAGAGAAAGAGAGCTTTAGAGATAGAGAAGAGTAAAGTAGTGGGGTAACTGGGTAATATTGTAATTTTATTTTGTAGCAATAAAAGTTCTATTCTCTTGAGTTCTCTTTACTTAAATTTCCCGGTTAAGTCTTAGTTGTTTCTAAGTTCTTAGCGTACTTATGTTAGTTCTATTATATGGTCGGCTCTACAACCTAATTAATATATGGTCGGTTATACTGCCTGAATAATATATGATCGATCTTGTCACCTAAGTATTATTGTACACTAAAAATTTAAAAGATAAAAGGCTAACCAACGTCAAAAGTGTTGGTGTAGTGTGAGTGGTATATTATAGGTCCTCTATAGTAGGTGCGTTGGGCTCATCGAAGTTTCCAACATGGTTGGAGTTCATTTGTGTTGATGGAATCAATTTACTTTCAAAAGGGTGGTAGAACTCTAAGGTAACTTTGAAGCTTTAGGAGAAAATGTTGATTGCTCTATACATGGCGAGAAGATGACAATACTAAGCACATAAAATTATGCAAGGAGAATAGATGAAAATGTAACATCCCCAAAACAAGGCTAGTGACTAAAATATAAGTTTTTAAAACTTTGTGATCAATTTCAAAAAATTGGAAAGTTTAAGGACTTAATTGGAATATCTTGGAGTTGGTTTTAATAGTAAAGTGTGGAAGTGAAAAGGGTATAATGGTAAATTTGTCAGGAAATAAATTAAAATTTTTAGTGGTGTTATATATATCAACGTGTAGTAGGGGGAGAAGGAAAGAAAAATCTGGAAGTATAGTCTCTTCTTCTGCTTATTCTCCTTCCACCGTAAGTGATTGGTTAAAGGAAATAATTCTTTTAGTTGGTTATTTCTTGAATTTTAAGTTGAGTTTTGGTCTCTGAGTGATACATAAGCTTAAGCAAAGCTTAATGTTGTGTAAAACTAAAGGATGGATAAATTAAGGGATATTCAATATCATGGGTTTTTAAGTGAATTATTGAGAGAGTTTGTAGATGAATTTTGAACTCATATTTGACTTGTCATAAGCTGACATAAGTAATCTAAAGTATTAGATATGGATTTAAGACATGTTAAATATTTGGTATGATTTTTTGGTTTAATTGTTCCAGTTAGATATTGGATATTAAGAGGATTTAAAGTGAGATAAGTTGATTTGAACAAGTGTAGTTGAGTCTAAAGGCTTTAAAGAAGAGTTAAATAAGAAATTTAGCTGAGTTTGGTTGATTTTCGGGTTAAATAAGTAAGTTATGGGCAAAGGGTATCGATACTGGATGAACAATACCTATACTTTAAAGTAAAATAGGTGAGATTGGGATATGGGTATCGATACTGGATGAGCAGTATCGATACCATAAAGTAAAGTGTATGAAATCCTTTAATTAGTATCGATATCGAATGAGTAGTATCGATGCCAAGGGGTATCGATACTAGTGAAGAAGTATCAGTACCATTTTGAGGGATGAAATTCTAGAATCGAAGTAGGGTATTGATACCGAAGTATAGTATCAATACCATAGTATAGAAGTATCGGTACTATACCTTGGGTATCGTTACTATTAATAGTGAAATAGTGAATTAAGTGCTTCGTTTAGCTCAAGTTATTAGTGATTGATTTATAGTATTATGAATTCTAATATTTATTTAGATCGTATATTTGTATAGATATTGATCGAAAGTAATATCCAGACGATTCAAAGTTATAAGACCGATCTAAGGTGCTAAGTGTTTAGTTTTGACTAAGTGAGGCTAAGGTGAGTGCATATCCCGATGTCTATGGTGGTATATGGAAATGAGACTTGCGATTAGTCTATTTCCAATGTTTTGATTTCATTATTTCATGAATACCACCATTTTATAAATGTGATCTCTATGTGTACATGAGTACATGGATATATCTATATGTTAAGTGTAATGCTATGCATGAGCCATGTGTTACATGTGATATTATGTGAATACATGTTTGTGTGGTAACCTATGTGAATTGATATAAATGACCTATGTGAAATAAATGAAAAAGTGAGACAAGCTCAATAACATTGACCTATGTGATTACATGAGAAATGATATAAGCTATGTGACTATGAGCTATTTGAGTACGCGTATATGTGATGATCTGTGTGACTATGTGAACATGGGATATAATCTATGTGATACAGAACTATG